AATATTGAAAGGCAACGTTGAAGGCGAAATATTCTATAAGTTACTTTATTACCTATCACTTCCGCCCATTAAAGTTTGCTTAATGATTTACTATGAAATATAAATGTAATTACTAAAAAGGTGAAAGTGATCTTAAAATCGATACACCCCCTTTTAGCAGCTATCGACAATCAAAATTAGCCTCATTACCTGCCAAAGTAGATCAGGCAAGAACTAAGTTTTACCTACCGATATTACTTTGTTATTTTGACAGCGTGGAATTGGCAAAATGAAGAAATACTTTTGTTTAATGAAACACAGATCTCCGTCCGGCTTTAGCAGGTGATTGACCTTATTTTTAACAAAAAAAAAAAAAAAAAAACAAAAAATATAATTCGCTGGTGCACTGTGATGAAATTATACATTGAATGTATAAAAACGAAGCTATTTAGTCACAATCACACCCCACCTATACCGCGTTTCAAAGACGTTACATTCATAATTCAAATTAATAAACACATAATGGCCTCCCTGTGTTACTTAAATATTACTAATATGTTATAGTTACGATCCCAAAACAAAGCAGCAATCGAGCGCATGGGTCTTTCGAGATAAGCCGAAACCAACCAAAGTGGCGCGCGTGTAAAGTGCCTCTTAGCGGATGATTGCTTCTTTTTTTAGTAAAACTAGACACGTGGCTATTGTTGCTTTGGAGAATCGTTGTACCGTGAATAGTGATTGGTACACGACCATTTCTTTGCCGGAAATTATTGACAAACTCCGTAAAAATAACCGTAAACGCCGTACCATCTTGCACCACAATAATGCCAGTTCTCACAATGCCGTACAGACAAATGAATTTTTAAAGGTGAACAACGTTGACCTTATGAACCATCCCGCGTACAGTCCCGACCTGGCACCTTATGACTTTTATTTATTTCCAAAAATTAAGAACCAGTTTCGCGGTCAACAATTTTCATCCCCTGAAGAGGCTGTCGAAGAGTATGAAAAATATGTTTCAGAAATTGTCACGAGGAGTGGCATAAATGTTTTCAAAATTGATTAATTCGTATGAAAAAGTACATTAACGCTAACGAAATATTTTGAGAAACAATAAATTAATTTCTGACCATTTATAGTATTTTTTCTTTTTCATTCCGGAAAGTTATATTGCGCCTCACGTATATGGTAGTTTATTATAGTGCAATGTGTTATTTGTATGGGTTATTCCTTCCCTTGTTACCTTTCACATAATACTGTCTTCTTTACTACCGCTTACGGTCATTAACTTTTGTATGACTATCGCCTCGCTGACTAGTTACTTATGAACTATATTTACAATCCACTTACAGTTTGTGCACAAATAATGCAAGGTAAAAAAATAAAAACGGTTGACTGAACACACTAATCAATAACATACGAAAAAAATACAAACCTAATTAAATTTTAAAATATAGTGATTACACACTAAAATGAAATTATGAATTATACATTTAGAGTTATGTAAATTATGTAATTCTTTAACAACAACTAATATAAAAAGTAAACTGTAAAGTAAAATTACTTTGTAAACAGCTTAATCAATTGTGATAAATTTGATTGTTTCTAAATTTATTTGATTAATTTTTGTATAATGCTCTTGGTGAATGATAGATTATTTATGCAAAGTACTTAAATATTTGCAAAACTTTTCTATTACCAAAATGAACTTATGTATTGTGTGGATACAGTTCGCATTAGTACGAACCTTACTGATTTAAAATGCGACTAGAAACATTGTTGTGTATTACGTTTTAACGGATAAATAAAAAAACAAAACAAACGCTGAAAACAACTCTATAAATTGTTTAAACATTGTGGAAATATTTCAAAATCAGAACAGATACCATTGTAGTGGAGGCACATCTCTGTAATGAATTATAAGAGGAAAATCTAACATCCGATAGGAGAGGAACCCTAAGGAAGAAGTACAGTACAAAGTTATAATTGATTATAGATTCCTAATAATTGGCATAGTTCTTAATATAAAACCAAGCATCCTGATTGATTTGTTGACGATATAATCGAAATGACGTCTAAATGAAAAATGAGAGTCGAAGTTTGACAATACTTGCAACTTACTTATGGAACACAATAGACTATAGTTAACAAACCGTGGACGAGGTTTGTTGACATAGTTAACCAACACAGTTTATTAATGTAAACTCATTGACCATCATATTGATCGTCATTTCGGAGGGAGCTATAAAATCTTATTCTTTATTATACTTCTCAACTTTGATCTCTCACACTAAGGCAGTCTATTCGAATATAATGCAGAACCCTCTCACAGTACCATCGACCGAAAGCACGCCACCTGCTGCCCTGATATATCGGATTGGTAAAATAAGTCTACACCGTGAGTTCGCAACGAAAATGAAATCATTTATCTTCAAACGGAACAACGCATGATGTCTGCTATTCGGCATGCAGATTACGGCGATTCCACCAAATCTCCGTTTGGCTCACATCCTCAGTACGCGAACGCAAACGTGTACGTAAAATTTTAATAAAATAATCTCATGTTATGATAAGAAAGAATGTGTGAAATGAATTCTGCGTGGGCTGAACATTTTAATAATACACAATGATCATTATATCTTCTAGGTAACCTCACTCGTGATATAACTTCTATGTCATTTTCAAAGAAGCACAAACATTGCTTGTGCCTACTAAAAGATACAGATTAAATAATTTATTTTGAAGTAATTCTTTTTTATTATCTACATGTTTCTTTTTATCTACACTCTTCCTTGTTGTTAGCAAATGTCTCACAAATCGTGCTACGTGTTCGTATTACTCGGGCTTTATATTATAGTGTCCGTCTACTTAACTGATAACCTTTTTATTCTTAGTAAATATTAACAATAAAAGGTGAATCGTAAGTGACTCCAGCTCAAAACGAGTAAGCTTTTAAACGGCGCGAAGCAATACACCAAAAAGCAAAACCGATGGAAAACACAGCTAACCTTTCAGTATAATCGACCAACCTAAAATAAATAAGATACCAGGAGCACATAATCATTATGCAAGTAGAATAGTAGAAGGCGACAAAAGAGAGGCGTGTCTGGTTAGCAGGTTTCGATACGAGTAGCCACTCCGAGTGAGAGCGTGCGCGCCTCGAGCGCTGGAAAATTGCTCCCAACCTGTTATGCTAGCCTGGTTGTTTTGTTACGGAATTTATAGGGCCTGGTTGGAAATTCTTTGAAGAGTTGTAGGTTTGGAAGAGATAAACATTTTGGACAGATTTTTTGTAACATAAGATGAAAAATACCTAAAAGCAATAGCATATTATGTTGCATAAAGATGAAGAAGTAAAAAACCTCTACGTAAACATCATAAATAAACATTATCAATAATTGATTAACTTTATGTACATTTCAAATTACAAGTTAAAAACACGAAACGTAACGTAACGTGTAAAAAAATTAAAAAAAAATTTTATCTATAGACTTTTTCACAAACTCGATATGAAACTGTAAACGAGACCCAAAACGTTTACTTACTTATAATCTACGTGAGTTGGATAAAAATTGGAAAGGCATAACATATCTCTCTCAGGCGGTGTGCTAAATACAGAACGTTTGCTGATTACGTTATTGTCTAAGTGTTATAATTATAATAAACTAACTTTGTATCTGTTTCTTTAACTGGATTAAAATTCCTAATTTTCTGACGTTTTACAAAATTAATATCAATTTACGAGCCCACGCGCATAACGTGAATTTAATTTAATGAACCGTTCTTCAAAGCGGATAAGTGAACTCTCATTTCCGTAAAGTGATTCAGCGAGGAACAAAGCTCCATCAATCTAATCTACATCCATGCTATCAGGCCGAGCCTCGTTTGTCAAGATCACAGCCTTTTGTTCCTTTACCGACATTCTGAATTCTCGCCAACACTTCATCTATATCTATAAACATAATATAGACAATTACAAAACGTAATGTCGATACCTTACCGCAGCACAGCAGTCTTATTTTTTTTTGTTTCTATCACAGTGCACAGTTCTGCACTTTTGCGCTAAATTGAATATTTTTCCCATAGATTTACAAATCGAAATTCAAAATTTGGACATGGGCACGGCCTATAGAATAGTATTTTTATTACTTTGAAATTTCATGCATATCGGTCGAAGAATTGGTAAATTGTGCCATTTGAGTGGATGCCAAGAATGCTTCGCTCGTTGTGCTTTGATTATAAAGAGATTCGTTACCATATATGTTATGGACCAGAGACTACCTCTTTCCTACTTTACCGAAAATAAAAAAGTAGCTAAAAAATAGTTGTAGTCACGTCAATCAATCACTGGACTGGTCACGTCTGCCGCATGCCAAGCGAGTTATAAGCCAAGCTGTAAGTCAAACAGGGTGGAAGCCCTCCAACTAAAACGGACGCGCGATAGACCACATCGGCGAGGGCGGGATGATTTCGACTCCTTTTTAAAGGACTGGCCAGACGTTGCTCAAAACCGAGATCAATGGAATAACAGCGGGGAGTTCTTTGCCCAGCAGTGGGACTAAATAGGCCCATAATGCCCTCGAAACGAAAAAAGGCACGACTGCTGTATGAAGTACGCATAGTTGTACCTTTTTTCGTTACGAGGGCAACATAATTATAATGTAATTTAACTTTGAATTCCCGGTAGGACCAATTTGGAAATGAAATTTTGTAAATTGATCTGGGTGTTCTGGGAAGTGCCCCAGAGTAACTTCCTTTGTTCTGGTACTCGTAGGGATTTTCTAGTTTGAGATCATTTGCCTGGTGTAGTTGTAAATAATTATAATAATAGCTGTATTTCAAATTCATTTTACGTCTTGTATTTTTTATCGTTACTACAAAATCATTTGAACTGCAATTGTAATTATATTCGCATTTTTATTCATTTAATTTTTTGCACGGCGGCCATGTTTAGATATGAATCCAAGAATCCTTTTTGTAAAAAAATATAAATAATTGTAATAAAATCTTGTTTGTTACAGATGACACCAAGCACATTATAAACTGGTATTCGCAGAAGTCCAAGTTTTTAAGGTAAGACATACGGATTCAAAACGCACATTATGATCTACGTATCTACAATTTATAATAACATTACAACTAATCCGAATTCTCAGTCTTTAAATTATATGTCACTCAAAATACACACTAAAGTTATTGAATATTAATGCTAAAAGCTACGAAATGCCCCAATTATTAGTAGAAGTAGTTGTCTGTCTGGGAAAGCAAGTTAGTAAACTCTTAGCTTAAGTACTAAATCCATTTATTTCAAGTGAGCGATATGGGAATTTGATTTATGTACTGCTTTCCTTGTTTGCTCACGTGTATACATTTATATCTATACATTATGGTACGTGTAACTATGTCGTAAACTCGTATCCATGTGATTTAAACAAGCTTCTTAAGTTAACGAGATAGCAATTTTGGGATTATCAGTTGTTAATATTTATTTAAAAATTGAAAACAACAAAAATAAGGTGACAAAATAAAGTCATTAATGATATTTATATGAAAGACTAAAAAACTAACAAACAAGCAAATTTTAATAAATGGAAAATGGCAGTTAATGGAATTAAATTTTAATATTAGGACTGCTGTATAGGTAGTATTGTATCTGTATAATTTTAAAATTGCTGTTATTGGTGTTTTCATTACCCCGAATATTAATTACACTAATTAGTGTAAAAGAAATTGACAATACTTTAGAAAAATACATTCAATTTAGTCACAGTTGTATTTTGGGTTAAATAAGATAAGAAATTAATTGCCGTAGCCAATAGAAATTCGTAACCAATGACTATGCCAGTGAGAGACAGTCCTGATACTATATTACAATAGGATATTATCGCGCCCATTTTGCGGAGTAGCAATATAGCGATATACACAGAAATGTATATTTGTCAAACGTAATGCTAGTAACCAGTCTCTTTGTTTCTATAAATCAGCAAAAGCATAATGTTATATATATGTTGCAAGCGGCTAAAACCCCAATCGTGAAAATCAATGAAAGAAAAAATGTTGCGCGCTGACTTCATAGCATGGCGGCGGTCGACGTGGCGGCGGCATATCGCATTCAGCGTAGTTCCATGAGTATTGGATTTTCGCCGCGAAAAAATGTCAGAAAATTAAATGATTCAAGAAAAATTTAAATCTATGATCTGACAGTATGGCTAATTCGACGCCTTAGCCTGTCTCGAACGACGAAAAATTTTACTACTCAGCCTATTCCCATAAGCCTTTCCATAAGTGTTGGTTGTACTTTGTGTAGATTATGATCCTTAGTGACCTTGACAGCTTTGAAGCCTTTTAATGCTGTAGATACTTTATTAACTACACCTCTGTGTAATTTAGGTGTTAATTAAATCGCGCTTTTCTGTGACTATACGACCACTTAATTCACTTAATTCTTTGTAAAGATGGAGTTGCAGACTCGCTTCCCACACTACCCAAACATTTTATAGGCTTTTTGTTTAATGAAAACGTTAAATATATTACGACATATTACGACGTATAGTTCTTTTTTTAGGTGTGTATTAAAATGTCAAGTTCGAAAGAACTTTATTGTAGTACATTTTTAAGTTTCATTTTATGCCCAGAATATAAATTTGATTTTGTAAGTACTAATGTACTTTCCCATCAAACAATGAAATTATTTTATTATTTCAGTGCTAACTAGGTATTGTTGGTTTAAAAATAAAATCGACCGACCACTAGTTTTGATAGAGAAGTGTGTTTGACCGTTTTTTTGGCCTTGGTTAATACTAGTTATAAACGATTGTTTAAAAAAAATGACATTGCCATTACCACGGGTGTACCACAGGTATGGCTTATCCTTAATTTAAAAAATCATTAATGGGCTTAGAGAGGATCGCTAAAAAAGGTTAAATTATGATAACAATGTCCACCACCACTGGCCACATATACCAAAATATTTAATTTAAAAAAGGAATGGCTTCAATCATCTTTTCATTTCGATTAAAAACGGTCAGGGTATATGTGAGCAGTGGTTCATAAAAACGTTGCTATTATAATTCAACCTTTTTTAGCGTTTTGTTTTATTTATTCAGGACATTCCACGTGGAAAACTCACACATTAAATAAATACTGAACATTATAGCTTAAAACTGAGTGCTTCTCCACCCAAGGAACATCGCAGAATGCAATGATAACAATATACATTGTCAAATTAAGAAATTAGTGCAATACATTGTTGTTTGACGCTATGTAAAACCTATCGAGTTCTTAGGTTTTCGCGTTTGTTACACATAGGAAATGAAACTATTTTTCCGGATTTAAAAAAGTCAACCGTGACCATGGGACCTGTAAAGGGCCCGAAACGTCGGTTTGTTTGAAAAAACAAATATACGCGATTTAAATCCGGAAAAATAGTTTCATTTACTATGTAAAACTACAAATTAGTTCTTCTAAATATGTTCATGAGTATATTTTGAGATTAACTAGGCGAGTGAAGAGCTATATGCGTTCCGTGGCACTGTGTGAGCGACTGATTTGCATCGTTTAAAAAAGGATCTAATGCAAAATAGGTACAATAGGCTCATCGTCATCACTATTTATTTGGGATGAATGAATGATGTTTACAACAAAACCGTTTATAGCTTATATAATGTGTTGTTAAGTTATACATACGAGTACATAATGTGTATAGCGTAAATATTTAAGTAAAATGTAGCGCGTCGCCTACAAACATAAACTCTTTATTAATGTAGTTACAAGGCTTTTAAAAAATCACAAAATCAAATTAATTTCAAATGCAATTTACTGTAGAAAACAAATCTAATTTTACTAATATCGGTATGATTACTGTGTTGTAGTAAATAAATGTATTCTGCTTATCTTTCATACACACACGTTCCTAAACAAAAACAAAACTCGCCAAATTACAAGGCTCCAATGCCCAATACTAATAGTACTAAACTAACGACTATCTAAATTTATGACGTCATATATCCGCCATACAGATTCAGATAGTGCCGTGGAGGGACAAATGGGAAGGGAAAGGATCGGGACGGGAATCGAATCGACGATTCCTGACACGTTTAATTGATGGCACCATTAGTGCTCTGTCTATCGTACGTAATCGAGAACACGTGACGTCATTATTTTGGATACTCTTTATTTTATATGGTATTTAAAATTTTCTTTCCAAAATATTTACTTCTTTCTTCTCCTTTTTTAAGAGCTAGGCTTTTGTCAGTTTTTTTTTTAATCATACCAAGTGACGGGACGAACAAGTCGTACGTCTTGTGGTAAGCGACACGCCTGTCCATATCAGTTTCAGTGCCACTCAGAGCTTTAGAACACAAACATATAAGGGGAACCACCACTGCGCGCGTTACCCTGAGACATAAGTTGATAAGTTTCTTGTGCCTGTAATTTCACCAGCACCCTTATCTTTCAAACCGAAACGCATTAAAATTTACGTTTAGTAACTTAGTACTGCTTGGCGCCAGAAATAGGTAAGGTGGCACTTCCCTGGACAAACTTTTTCAAAAGGAGCTCTACTGCTAAAAATATTGGCAAAATGCTTTAAAAAGCGTGTGGATTATAACGTACGTACGTACGAGTCTCTTCGAAAGAGTGGTTATGGCCTTAGTTTGCCACACTGGCGCTGGAACTTCACACGTTTTCCAAGGGTTATGAACCTTCTCCGACGTCCAGGTTTCATCACGAAGTATTCTTCGCCGATAGCGAGCTGAATTGCTACGAGATATTCACAAATGTACCTACGTAACTTCTTCTTCTTCTTCTTTTAAAAACGACTATAAGCGGTAGTTTTATAAAAATAATATAACAATTATGGCGAACGCCGTTAGCAAAGCCGGTACCTCCCATATTACAAAATAAAGTTATACATGCCTCCACTTCTACAATTCAATTGACATGCCGAGCCTTAAAAAAAGCCACTATTCCACTAGGCTACCATCGCTCGAATATTTAGACAATCTAAGCTTTAGTATTTTGTTGCTTCTGTTGTATTTGAAAATATTATTGAGTGTTACTTTTGTAAATACAGATGATGTCGGTACAGAGTACTAAAAAAACCGACCTCAAAAGTCATTCTACCCTAGTTTGCCACCCTAAGAGACTACTGGCGTACCCGCTTTCCAACAAAAAAAGAATCCTCAAAATCGGTTCACAAATTTAGTTTAGTAGAGTTATCGCAAAACATACATACAAACAGAAAAAGAAAACGTACAGTCGAATTGAGAACCTCCTCCTTTTTTAAGTCGGTTAAAAACTAAGGAAACTAAGGAACTAAGAGAAGGTTCGTATAAATTCTACCTTCTTAGTATATCAATATGCGTATAATTATAATAACATATTTAACTAAAAAAAAATTTATAGCAGTCGAGCTCCTGGTGAAAGAATTCGTCGAGGGAAGTGCTTTCCTATTTCTGCCGCCTAGCAAGTAATGTGACCTGCATTGCGGTTTTGAAGGGTAAAGGTGCTTGAAGATAAAGGGAGCTGGTGAAATTACAAGCACTCTGAGGGGCACTGCAACTGCTGTGGAACAGGCGTGTCACTTGCCACCAGGCTCTGAGTGGCGCTGTAGCTGTTATGGACAAGCGTGTACCTTATCATCAGTCGCACGACTTGTTCGTCCCGTCACATGATATATAAAAAAAAATATTTTATAAGTTGTCTAAAATTAAAGGTTGATTATACAGGGTTATTTTTATGTGTATAGAAAATAACTGGTAGAAAATTGAGTTTCGATATAAATTCATATCCATATATAAACAAAAAACGAAATGTGTAATCCTTCATAACAATTTTTTAATGAAACAGATTTAAGGGGTTGTTACTCTTAAATCTCTTTCATTACGTTTTGGTTTACATTTCTCCCTCGATACCTATATATTTATGTTTCTTTTGAAATAAAGTGTGCAAAAATTCGGAAAAATATTTTAAATTATAACTTTCACACACACTATTAAATATGTCGTATTTCACCGTGCCGTTACAATATACATATGTATGTATGTACGTACGTCGTTTGCACTGGAGGTGAT